GTATGTATGTATGTATGTATGTATGTATGTATGTATGTATGTATGTATGTATGTATGTATGTATGTATGTATGTATGTATGTATGTATGTATGTATGTATGTATGTATGTATGTATGTATGTATGTATGTATGTATGTATGTATGTATGTATGTATGTATGTATGTATGTATGTATGTATGTATGTATGTATGTATGTATGTATGTATGTATGTATGTATGTGTTTTTGATACAAAAGTTGATGTTGGAGGGAAATGGATGTATGTGGTAATAAAAAATTCTATAAAACGTAAAAGTGGGCGGAGCGTGCGTCACAGTGGGCGGAGTATGGATGTGTATGTATGTATGTATGTATGTATGTATGTATGTATGTATGTATGTATGTATGTATGTTGTATGTATGTATGTATGTATGTATGTATGTATGTATGTATGTATGTATGTATGTATGTATGTATGTATGTATGTATGTATGTATGTATGTATGTATGTATGTATGTATGTATGTATGTATGTATGTATGTATGTATGTATGTATGTATGTATGTATGTATGTATGTATGTATGTATGTATGTATGTATGTATGTATGTATGTATGTATGTATGTATGTATGTATGTATGTATGTATGTATGTATGTATGTATGTATGTATGTATGTATGTATGTATGTATGTATGTATGTATGTATGTATGTATGTATGTATGTATGTATGTATGTATGTATGTATGTATGTATGTATGTATGTATGTATGTATGTATGTATGTATGTATGTATGTATGTATGTATGTATGTATGTATGTATGTATGTATGTATGTATGTATGTATGTATGTATGTATGTATGTATGTATGTATGTATGTATGTATGTATGTATGTATGTATGTATGTATGTATGTATGTATGTATGTATGTATGTATGTATGTATGTATGTATGTATGTATGTATGTATGTATGTATGTATGTATGTATGTATGTATGTATGTATGTATGTATGTATGTATGTATGTATGTATGTATGTATGTATGTATGTATGTATGTATGTATGTATGTATGTATGTATGTATGTATGTATGTATGTATGTATGTATGTATGTATGTATGTATGTATGTATGTATGTATGTATGTATGTATGTGTATGTATGTATGTATGTATGTATGTATGTATGTATGTATGTATGTATGTATGTATGTATGTATGTATGTATGTATGTATGTATGTATGTATGTATGTATGTATGTATGTATGTATGTATGTATGTATGTATGTATGTATGTATGTATGTATGTATGTATGTATGTATGTATGTATGTATGTATGTATGTATGTATGTATGTATGTATGTATGTATGTATGTATGTATGTATGTATGTATGTATGTATGTATGTATGTATGTATGTATGTATGTATGTATGTATGTATGTATGTATGTATGTATGTATGTATGTATGTATGTTATGTAAGTATTCAAAAGCTTGATTTCGGAATGCGCCATGCACTCGATTTTCATCTCAAAAAGTAGTTGCTCGCATGTGATGTGTATATAATCCCGCTTATGCGGGCTAACCGCTACACACAGAGAAGGGCCTCAAAACTTACCCCAGAATGCGCCACGTACTCAATCTCATCCACTACATTGTGAGATTAGATGAATGTTATTTTCCGAATTCTTAGATCTTCATTTCGTTTTCAAGCGCTTACTGGCTTTACGTGTTCCCTCTGCTCTCAATATCCCATCCTCTGTATATCAAGTGGAATCTTTGAACAGTTCTCAGCAGGCATAGTGGGCCTATTATGTGACATTTTCCATTTTCAGAGGACATGTTTTGCAGAAAGCTGTGAAGATAGCGAAGAATTTCCTTCACTGTCGTAGACTATGGTCACTTGTCTGTAGGAATTATGTGGAAAACTCGGTCGCAAGTAAGCGTTCCTTCCGTGGTGTGGCCCCAAACATGCCTCCTCGTCATGCCCTTGTGGAATGTTCAGATTTTTTGCATTTCCAGATGAACTCGCAGACCTGAAATGTGCCCCGTTAGCTTCCCCGTGAAAAATGCTATCGAATGATATGCATTACTTCCCCAGTTGAAACTTTGGTTTTCACCGTTTTCAGCATTCCCCTATATCCCACGATTACTGCCCCAAAATCTCAAAGTTTCATTTTTCGTCGAAACTTTGTCTATTGGGGTAATTCGATGCCCTGATTACGAATATGACATTCATTTTTGATGCTGGTGTCATTTGGCGCCATTTGGCGCCGTTTGGCGCCAATTTGGCGCCACGGCTGTTTTCACCAAATCTGCTGAAACTTCGTCATTTGGGGTTATTTGGGGTCCTGATTACGAAAACGACACCCGTTTTTGGCGCTGGCGCCATTTGGCGCCGTTTGGCGCCTGTTTGGCGCTACGGCTGTTTCCACCAAATCCGCTGAAAACGTGTGTATAGGGGTTATTTGGGGTCCTGATCACGAATATAACATCCAGTCTTGACGCCGGCGCCATGTGGTGTCACAAACAACACTTCACAGTCAGAGCGTACTCTTAGGCACCTTTCTCAGAGCGCCGACTGTCAGACCGTGGAAAAGGTCATCGAATCGGAGACTTTCCCACGACAGGAAGGAGCCAGACCGTGGGAAAGGTCGTCGAATCAGACTTTCCTACGACAGGAAGGAGCCAGACCGTGGAAAACTGTGAGCTAAGCCAGAAGCATATTTCACGTTTTCACTGGAGATGCCTGTATGCGTTGGGCAGAGCAGCAATTCGACTGTAAGCTCTCCAGCTGCCACTGAGGATGGTAGTACCGTGCTCGATGTACTACTTCATGATGAGCCGCAGTAGAGTTGAAACGTCTTTCCTTCGGACCATCCGAAGGAGTCCACTTCCTCTTTCAATGCCTCCAAACAGCCACTTGTGCCTGCGTACCCAACGTCGGCGGTTGTATTTGCGTTTGATAACCAGTGTTTCGTCAATTTCCATCTCGCACCCAAACCTTCCGATGATCGGCGGGTTCCTCCTGAAGTGCCCCACACATTCGCCGCGGAAGAACCGCTCCCACTGAATTGAACTGGTGTGGCCGACATTGAGCTCGTATTCCTTGTCCTTCACCTTGCCCATGTCGCGCAGCCAGAAATAGGGCAGTGCGAACACCGTGGACTCAGGAAAGTTACAGTTCTCGAAAAAGGAATCCTTTCGGGCATGAACGTAGACCCTGGTCTCGTTCGATGGTCCAGTGCGGCACGCTCGGCCCAAATAACCCCAAATGACGAAGTTTCAGCAGATTTGGTGAAAACAGCTGTGGCGCCAAATGGGCGCCAGCGCTAAAAACGGGTGTCGTTTTCGTAATCAGGACCCCAAATAACCCCAAATGACGAAGTTTCAGCAGATTTGGTGAAAACAGCTGTGGCGCCAAATTGGCGCCAAACGGCGCCAAATGGCGCCAGCGCTGAAAACGGGTGTCGTTTTCGTAATCAGGACCCCAAATAACCCCAAATGACGAAGTTTCAGCAGATTTGGTGAAAACAGCTGTGGCGCCAAATTGGCGCCAAACGGCGCCAAACGGCGCCAAATGGCGCCAAATGACACCAGCATCAAAAATGAATGTCATATTCGTAATCAGGGCATCGAATTACCCCAATAGACAAAGTTTCGACGAAAAATGAAACTTTGAGATTTTGGGGCAGTAATCGTGGGATAGTGCCCAATCCGGCAAGGAAAACACCGTTGAACTCAGCTCTTCAAGCGCGCAAGGTGGTGCTAAAATATTTTCAGAAAGCTTGATTTCGGAATGCGCCATGCACACGGGTTCTATCTCAAGAGCTAGAAGAACGTATACGCTGCGCGCTCAGTACTAATTATGGAGGCTAATTATTCGCATGGAGAAAACGTTCCACACCTGGTCTGGAGTGCGCCACACATCCGACCCCATCAAATGGATTGTGAAGTTAATTGAATGTATGCCAGGTTTCTATGTCATTTTCATGTACTGAGTAACTGAAAGTATTGTCGCTGCGCTGGATACAAGTGCTTAATGTATTTTGAACCAAATTTTAGTTGAGTTTTAAGCACACTTCATACCCTAATTTTGTAATTTCTCTCAAGTTTGGAGGGATATTTCGTCGAAGTACGAGAAGGCAGGAATGAAATCGCCCTATCATCTGGGACTACAGTTAGTACTCTGCAGGAATATCGTGTCCAAATCGATCGCGTGCGAGCGTTTCTGCTATGGTGTTGTGTCAAATATCAATGCGCGGCGTACCCTGATAAAAAGACCAGCCTTTTTTCGCTTTCGAACTCAACGATATGGCTGGTGAAATTGCGGTTGTGTTCTTCAGAGCAAAGGCTAATCAGCGACATGTCAATCATGACGCAGTGAAAACATAGTTTCTCCCCGATTTTTGACCGTTTGTCCTACAGTGCTTAACATGCCGAGCCATTGACGGCTACCCGTACTTCGCGAGACTGCGCCAGCAGGGCCAATGAACTAACCTAGAACTGACATCGGTCGAGATTTGCCAGGGTTCGTTCCGAAGCTCATGTCAGAACGAAGGTAGAATGCGCCATGTGACCGGCATCTATCCGAAATTCGTGGAATCGATTGCATGCGTATACTCCCTTTACATCAGTATCACTGACAACCAGTTATACTACAAAGTGGATAGGTAGATTACCGGCCTGAGCATACAGCATGCACTCGCGTTTCACCATAATAGCGGAACCAATTTGAAGCGAAACTATCCCTTTCTACAGATGTCGAAATCGAAACGCAACTGTTCTTCGAAAATCATTCTATCCTTCGTTGGCGGAGCACTTTTACAAATATTCTGAATGAGCAACAACAAATAAAATCAATTGGCTGTCATGAATCTTCATCAAAATACCAGCAGTCGGAAAAAAGTCATAATAGTTGTGATCAAAACGAAAACGACATATATAGAAGCTCATATAAGAGCAAGTTCGAAACTCTGGTAAATCGTTATACAAATGACATCGAAGCGCCACTCATCTTCCTTCGTATATGTGGCCCCCTCCGTTCTCGATCACACGGTGAAGTTTCCTTTGCATCCCTAGGATGTAGTTGGTGCAGATAGCAGGAGTCAGTGTTTTCCAGAAAGCCGCCACTGCTTTACGCAGATCCTCCACGGTTCGAGGATTCTTTTTCCTGGAAACGATTGTCAACTCTTCTATTTTAAACAATCAGCTAAAGATGAGAATCGTGCTAACCTCAAAAAACTTTTCATACTTCCCCATACTAACTCAATGGGATTTAAATCCGGTGATTCAGGGGGCCAATCGAGAAGTTTAATCTTCAATGCCTTCATGCGAGCGGTTGTATAAGCACTTTTATGTGCGGGAGTATATCTTGTACGAGGACTCCGAAACCTGAAAATAAATTGTCAAATTGGCAAAGTTAGGTGTCGCCACCACTCATCCACTATTTCTACAAAATAGGCAATGAACCTGCAGAAATGTTGACATACCATGATAAATTGTCGTGACGAATGGCACATAACAACGCTCAATTGTTTCGCAATACTTTTGGCTGTCCATCTTAATTCCACCAGGAAACATTGCGAGTTCTGTGGGACCCCTCATAGAGATCCCTCCCCAAAGGTGAATCTTAGCAGGGTGCTTGGCTCTCGAGCGAAGCTCGGCGAAATAATCGTTCTTCTTTACAAAGCAGTGCTTCGTAGCGCATCCGACTGAAAATTGTACACAGGAGCATATGAAAGAAGAAAATGAAAGGTGTCTACAGACACTCACCCTGAACTGTTTTTTCGTCTGTAAATATACACTGGCTAAAATCCTCGTGGTTTTCGATCATCCGAATACAGAACTCCAGTCTTTTCTCCTTGTTAGCATCCCGGATGATGTGACAATACTCAGTAGGAGCTCTTTGATATCCCAATTTATCGCGTAAACGACGGACTTGCGATGCACTGATGACGATGTTCCTTTCCTTCAAGCGCTTCAATATGACAGCAACTGTAACTGAAGAGTCGGCGGTGTAACAATCTTTTAAGATCTGCCGAATAACAGGAAAATCTCTGGAGAACTTTCGCGTGGGACAAGAGCCTTTTTAATAGGGAAGTGGCAAGCGTAATGATCTTTCAGGAACTTCCGCACTTTGTAGTAGGTAATAGACGGGTCCATTGATTGAAGCTCTCTGTGGGTCCTTGCCATAGACATGCCGGCTCGATGCATTGGGTGAATTACATTGCTATAGCGCACAAGAGACATCGTTGAAAAAAGACCAATACTGATGACGAGTAGAGCGACTGAGACAATGTGTAGCCTAAATCAACAGCAATTGAAAAATTGTAGTAGCGCGCCTCCACAACTCAGCACTACAAAGACACCTACCGAATTTCCTGAATCCGGAATTCTCGATCTTCCAAAAAATACTTGTTTTAAGAAACAGCCGACTCAAAGGTACTGCCACAACTGAAATAATGAGAAAATGGATAGTGGAAATAATCATTGGTAAGATACAACGCACTTTTTCAGCGACGAAATACAACGTTCAAGAAGAATTCTTGCTTAGAAGACAGTATCTGAAATCAGAGACAACCACCCATCTGGCCTATCAAGGAGAGGGGTAGTATTTAGCCGATGATGACGGGTACCAGAATGTCGTGTTAGCGTATCCGTGAACGAGAGCAATGTATGAAACCGAGAGGAGAGTGTCAGCACGTTAATGGATGCAGTTCGCATGATACTTGTTCCCTCTGGAGGCCTCCGTTTTCACCACAACGGGGCAAGGGTCAAAATGGCTGGATTTCGCAAGCTACAACAAGCGTCAATAGACTTTCGGATACCTTTGCAACTCCGACCCACAGGAGCGTGCGTAGCGCATCTCACAGCAGATTTTCTTGGTGTCAAAATCTTCTAATTTTTATTACGAGAAAGAAGATTACCCTAACTCCCAGCAGTTAAGCCAATATCACTGAAAATTCGTGCAGTGTACTTTGAGCGACTAATAGAAGAGGAGAGCGGCAGCAGGGATGTCTAAGGGACACCTCTGTATGAGTAGCGTGGTAGTTCAGTGGTTCAGCTCAAGAGTTTATTGAGCAAAAAGAAAAGAACTTGCAACAAAACGAAGAGAGGCGGCTAGCAACTACCGGTTTTAAAAGGATGCCGACAACAGCAAAGCTTCAAATCTGAAAATGAAGACATGGATTGATGTTTGATCGAACCCCTCCCATGAATCAAAGGAGTCA